GCAACAGTTTGTGATATTTATTGACCAGTGCCATTAGTGTTACACCAGGCTGAAGGCTCAGACAAGAAATCAATAAGCAGGATTATTAGTGTGAACTAAAAAGTTACATACAATTTAGCAAGTTGACACTAATACCGGGGCTTGTTAACCACTCAGGCTGTGCACAGAGCCAGCCAACCTTGATATGCACAGCCTGCAGCGACCTGCCCCGCTGGGAAAACGCAGATAGATGAGGGAGCCACTTAGCATTCTGTGCCGATCAACCTGGTGCACACAACAGCCCCAATTACACAAAAACACAGCTCATCCCGAGCTTCCTCTTTTGCATGGCGGAAGGGCAGGAATGTGCAGCTCCTCCTGGTTTTTGGGAGGGAATCCGTAATGCGAGATTGTTGCAGAACTAATAGGTCCATTTGATGGGTGCTTGCTAGAGCCTCCTGGATCCAGATTAACTTAGGCAGGGGGAGGAGAGGAAGAGAGACCAAAATACATAAGAAACTAAAACTCTGATCGCATGTTTTGCCAATGGCGGTGCTCTGCTCTGAGTGAGGTTTATGTTTTTTAGCTTCCGGTGCAGGTGAAGTCCTACAGCGGGCCGCAAGGCACAGGTGTGGTTGAGATCATGTTGTGATGCTTTTTGCATCTTTCTGACTTACAGCCTTCTGCGGCTCTTACCGTTTGCAAGGGCCTCTGCTGCATTTAAAAGCGGCTGAGATCAGCCCCGCGGGGCCTTGGGTAAACGTCCGTTCCTCGTCTTTCACAACTGCACTCACGCACGGGACAGTCTGCAGAAAAGTGCGTGCCTCCATTCAATGAGTTGGCACTGAGGCCGACATTAGCTGATGCTTGGCTCACATCATGGCACGCACCTCCCCTCCCTGGCTTGACCTACCCTGAGCTGTCCGTGCAGAACTCCCAGATGCCAGTCAGGATCTACATGTGAACACCTCAGGAGAGTTCAGGAAGAAGCCTTGGGCCCAGGGGATTTGAGTCTGGCCCAGGAGGACTGCAGTGCGTTGGGTCTTCTTAGTCACATTAAGGCCAGAGGAAACGGGTAACACCGATCTGTTGAAGACTTCAGGAAACCTAAACCACCTGCTGTATCGAGGCTCTCAGGGGCTGTTTGATTGAAGTGCAGCCTCAACCTGACAATAGCAATTCAATTCCATTTCCTAGGCTGCAGGGCTTCAATGTCTCTGATTCTCCAACTGCAGCAATGCTGGGTGTGCACTCTTATCTGTGTAGTGCTCCTTAAACCCATCTCCACGGCTGTTGTGATTCAACCAAAGTGAAAGCACACAATCGTGCGCATTGCAGTGGGTGTAGCTGAGGGCTGAGCACTGTGGGCCCTGGCTGGTCAGAGTACATCATGTCTCTAACAAAGAGTCCAGGTGATAATAATAATAATAATTATTATTATTATTATTATTATTATTATTATTATTATTATTATTATTATTGCTTACACTTATATAGAGCTTTTTCTGGACACTCCACTCAAAGCGTTTTACAGGTAATGGGGATCCCCTCCACCACCACCAATGTGCAGCCCCACCTGGATGATGCGACAGCAGCCATAGTGCGCCAGAACGCTCACCACACATCAGCTATCAGTGGGGAGGAGAGCAGAGTGATGAAGCCAGTTCAGAGATGGGGATTATTAGGAGGCCATGATTGGTAAGGCCAATGGGGAATTTGGCCAGGACACTGAGGTAACACCCCTACTCTTTTGGAGAAACGTCCTGGGATTTTTAATGACCACAGAGAGTCAGGACCTCGGTTTTACGTCTCATCCGAAGGACAGCACCTGTTTACAGTATAGTGTCCCCATCACTATACTGGGGCATTAGGACCCACATGGACCGCAGGGTGAGCGCCCCCTACTGGCCCCACTAACTCCTCTTCCAGCAGCAGCCTCAGCTTTCCCAGGAGTCTCCTCTCCAGGTACTGACCAGGTTCACACCTGCTTAGCTTCAGTGGGTTGCCAGTTGTGAGTTGCAGGGTGATATGGCTGCTGGCTATCCAAGAGAGCAGCAAGAGTGGCTTGGTTGCTAAAACAGCTGTCTCACAGTGCTGGGTCCTGGGTTCCACTCTGAACAGAAGGAGCCTTCTGTGTGGAGTCTGCATCTTCACTCCACATGCCCGTGGCTTTCCTCCCAGAGCTCCCGGTTCATTTTACCTCACAAGGCTGAGCTAGTAAAAACAGCTGGTGTGTATACATTGTGCCTGTGTGCACTGCGATGCACTGGCCTCCTATCCAGGGTGGGGCCCTGCCTGGTGCTCCATATTGCTGTGATCTTTACCAAGATTAAGCAGTTTTCTCTGAATGATGGATAGAAAACTTACCTGGAACAATATCTTCTCTTCCTCTCGGTATCACCTGTATCACCTTAACTTGTGGAGCGGTCTTTGGCAGAGACAGAGTCTGAGCTGCCCTCCCCAGGAATCTGCTTCTTCTGCACTGTGGTGGTTGAGGAGGAGCTCATCTGAGGAATTCTCCTCGTGTGTTACCTGTGGGGGAAAGACTGTCTGTATCACCTGGACAATATTCACACCTTCTGCTGGAGGGCTGTCGGGTCTTCTGATCGCTATTCCACTCTGGACTCTTGACCACTTAATTGGAATCTGTTGTTCCCTCAACTGGTCTTCATTCCCAATGTTTTCAGCTCTTAACTCATTGGGGATTATTAAATTACCTAAAAAACCTGGTGGAGTGCAGACTTCCGGAACCTGGAGAGATTGTCACTCTATATCAGACATCACTCTTGATCAAAGCTCGGGTCAATAGGTCTCTCGATCAGTTCTCAACCTCAATGGTAACTGCCTATAATTCAAACCTTTTAGGTTTGGTGGATAACATATATTTTGGGCTGGATTGACTTCGGCAAAACTCAGACCTTTCACAGCTGATGTTAAGGGCTCCGTAAATGGTACAGGAATTCGTATCCACTCCTACTTGCATAAATCAGGGTAAAGTTGAGGGCCGGAACAAGGAGCTCTTTGGTTCAGAGTGTGCCTGGGATCTCATATGTAGGGGGCTCTCACCCTGAGGTCTGGTCCTAATGCCCCAGTATAGTGACAGGGACATTATACTATAAAACAAGGCACTGTCCTTTGGCTGAGACGTAAAACCGAGGTCCTGACTGGTCCAGAGGTTTCTCAAAAAGAGTAGGGGTGTAACCCAGGCGTCCTGGCCACTTTCCCATTGGCCTTTACCCATCATGGCCTCCTAATAATCCCCATCTCTGAACTGGCTCCATCACTCTGCTCTCCTCCCCACTGAGAGCTGGTGTGTGGGGAGTGTTCTGGCGCACTATGGCTGCTGTTGCATCATCCATCATCCATCATGTAAAGCGCTTTGAGTGGAGTGTCCAGAAAAGCCCTATATAAGTGTAAGCAACTATTATTATTATTATTAATTATTATTATTAACAACAACAATTATTTGTTATTTATAATTATGATTAAAACTCCAATTCTCTCTAAGTTCTTTATGTATACGAGAGAATCCGTTTCTCATTCTGCATAATAGGGTTTTGAAGTAAAAAAGCATTTGTTTAAATATTACAAAAAACATTATCCAGTGTTGGAGTGCAGTTTCAATAGAATAAAACCAGACTGCGTCTAAAGAGAACATTGCGTCCGTATCATAACAGCTTCATAGGAAAAGTCATTTCATGAATATATTCCACCAACTTTTAAGAAGATTTCAAACCATGCAATGACAGAGTTGTGTTATGACTGCAAGAATCGAAGCGTAATTGCTTTCATTTTCACCCCACTAAGATGGCGCTGTAATTTACACGGGAGGATCACGCGACACTCTAATCTCTGTTCATCTCTACGAGTGCGCGAGAGGGAACCGCCTCTACTTCCGGAGAGACTAGCGGCGGGACCATCTGTGCCCGGATGACTGAACTCTATGGTCTGAAAATGAGTGACAGCGGAACAGACCAATAGTAAAATGGAGTGAGGAGTAGAAGCCAATAGAATCGTGCGATGGGCGGGGTTAAAGTGTTCTGCGATTGCTTGGCGACCAAGGTCCAAGGTGACCAGGAAGAAATATGAAAGCTTAATTTTGATGGCGTCACGGCGTTGTATGAATTCATAACGTTGCAAGGTAAGGACGGTTCGCTTTGCTAACGACCCTATTCTGACTAGGAGAAACTCTTGCGACGCGTGTGAGAGAAACTGCAGCTTGGAGCTTTACACTTTGCCCTGACGCGTACTCATCACCTATCACCTCAGGCCAAATGACGCGATAAAGTCGCTTTTATTTAAAAAAAAACTTCGTCTCCGTATCTTGAAGCGCAGCTGATGCACTCCTGTGTGTTCAGTTTAGGCACTTGTCCCACGTGTGGTTTAGGGCCGGCTAGGAAGTGTACTAGTTGTATTCGTTTCATATTTCAGACTTCCATGACGTTTCTGCTCCCGTTTGCAGCGTTAAAATGTTTGCGTCAGTCATTTAAACTTTGTTTTGGTTCCGCTGAGAAAATGTGTGGGTAACTCGATTTATTTTTCTTATCTGGCGGTGGGTCCTCTACAGCGGCGATCGCAAGATTATTAATTTGGACTTCAGCTGTTCGATTAGATTATATCACAAGCCGCTTGCCCAGATGAGGATGAGCAGCAACTGCTCTGTTTCCTATAGGCTGTGTTCTGGTCGAATAAATCCGCAGCAGATCCCCCCCCAAAACGACTTTTCTTGTTGATCGATAAATGGGCTGAGTGCGAAACGCATCACCACCTGGATGTGGATCTCACAGCCCGAGACGGGATCAGATCGTACAACAGGTTGCACAGCCGCCGGGCGGGGGGAGGAGAGGGGTAGGCGGGTAGATCCGTGTTTTGTATTACGTTTGCGATTTCGCAGCCGATCCAAAAGGGCCTTCGCAGACACGTCCGTCGCTCCTGGCTCTATTAGCAACGTTACTTGCTTTTATTCAACAGGGCGATTTAACTACAGCATTCACGGAGCAGGTACCTAACTCTTAGGGAGGACGTGACTGGGAGGTCGGGTCATCTGGGGGCTGCAGTCGATGGGTTTCGTGTCTCCGGGTGGTGTCTGTTTTGGGTGGTCAGTGTTATTTTGCCTCTCCCCAGTTCAACGTGCTCTGAAGCGCAGATATGGCGGCCGTGGGGGACGCGCAGGAGGCGGCCGGTGGCGGGGCCGAGTCTCCGGGCCGGCGGCGGCGCACCTCCCTGCTGGACGGCGGCGAGGACTTCGAGATGCTGAATGACGAGGAGGAGGAGGACGATGATGATGATGGGGATCTTCCTCCTCTGGAAGACACCGCTGCAGGGAAGAAGGCGGCTGTTCGGAAGGAAGGGGAGGACGGGACTGGGAGTGAGCAGAGCCCTGCGGCTGAGGACTCCTCGGAGGGAGAGGAGTGGCTGGATGTCTTGGGTAATAAAAATAATAATAATATTTCCTCACACTTATACAGCTCTTCTGGACACTCCACTCAAAGCTCTGTACAGGTAACGGGGATCCCCTCCACACCCACCAGGGTGTACCCCCACCTGGATGATGCACCAGTCCGCTCCCCACACACCAGCTCTCAGTGGGGAGGAGAGCAGAGTGATGGAGCCAGTTCAGAGAGGGGGATTATTAGAAGGCCAATAAGGGTAAAGGCCAATGGGAAATTTGGTCAGGATGCCGGGGTAACACCCCTACTCTTTTCGAGAAACACTCTGGGATTTTTAATGACCACAGAGAGTCAGGACCTCAGTTTTACGTCTCATCCAAAGGACGGCGCCTGTTTACAGTACAGTGTCCCCGTCACTATACTGGGGCATTAGGACCCACACAGACTGCAGGGTGAGCGCCCCCTACTGGCCCCACTAACACCTCTTCCAGCAGCAGCCTTAGCTTTCCCAGGAGTCTCCCCTCCAGGTACTGGCCAGGGCTGCCAGCTGGGAGCTGCGGGGTGACAGAGCTGCTGGTCGAAGGGAATGGTGATGTTCTGTTACCTCATGTTCATGCTTTTCCTTTATAACCAACTTCAGTATTTCATCCAGAGGAGGGTGGATCCCTGTTTTTCCTTGGATGTAAGAGGTTTTGGCTCCGGTGTCCTCCCACCGTCTAAAGACATACTGGTGGGTTAGTTGGCTTCTGGGAAAATTGGCCCTGGTGTGAGTGTGTGTGTGCGCCCTTTGATGGCCTGGCGTCCCATCCAGGGTGTACCCTGCCTTGTTTCCGTTGCTTGCTGGGATAGGCTCTGGCTCCCTGCATTGGATGAAGTGGTTAGAAAATGGATGGATGAGTGAGCTTTGGTGGGGGGCGTGTCTGCTTTTCATTCTGATCATCCCTCGGTCCAGCACCTCTTCCTTCCCCCCCTTCCCTTCCTGTGTTCCGGGGACTGACCTCCTTCCCGCGCTCTCTCCGCAGGGAACGGGCAGCTGAGGAAGAAGGTGCTGGCGGCTGGCAGGGGCCCGGACAGCCGGCCCAGGAAGGGCCAGACAGTGAGGGTCCGGCTGAAGGCCTCGCTGCAGGACGGCTCCCTGGTGCAGGAGGAGCCCAGCCTGGATTTCACGCTCGGAGACGGCGATGTCATCCAGGTGGGGGGGTGGGGGGGCGGCTGGCCTCGTGTCCGCTTGCTTCCTGAGCTGCACCTCCGAAAGAGCATTTCAGGGTCCTTTCTTCCCAGTGAGCGTGTTTTCTGTCTGACCCTTTCATTGCGGTCAGAGAATTTGCCCCCAGGAAAGAATGGGACCCGAATGTTTTTCCTCACGCTTAAAAGGAACTGCAGTGCTATTTTGATATTTCAGGGTTAGAAAGAATTGGCATTCGTGAGGGCACTTCAAACCACAATGAAAGTAAAATGTACACAGTAACTTATAACAAAATGGACGTAATTTCCAGGTATGCGCAGCGCCATGTTCTGTGATTCAGAACGAGGCAACAAAACCTAGGGTGACGAGAAGCAGCCCTGTTTCATTGTAAACCAGCAGGCTTGTGAATACACCTCTTTTAATCCAGCTGAATATTTCTCTTGACTTCGGGACAGTTTTGCCAACAAATGCTGCTCGTTAACTTTGCCTGCAGATCTCGTTGCAATATCTTTGTGATGAAATGTCTGTTGCGCCACCTGTGTTTGTTCACTCGTACATCAGTCATTCCATTAATCATCAATTGCGCTTCACGTCACAGTTCTTGGGGACTTTCACTCTCCCCCGTAGGGAGACCTGGGGTTTGTGACAACATGACGTCCTGCAGGACTTTCCCAGATTTCCCGATTGTGAGCTTCACTCAGGACGCGTCACATTTTGCGACACCGTCGATGAATTTAATGTGTTGCCGAAATTTAATAACCTGTCTGAGAAATTGGGACTGCAGTTTCCCTTTAATACCACAAACACAAAAGAAGGATTTGCCACGAAAAAGGAAGATCTCGCCCTCGCTGTGAGCGCCTGTGTAATCTGCCCTGTGGCATGCCCAAGTCAGACAGGCGGCTCTGTGCACGAACTCATGACACTCACCGCCTTGCTGTTCTCATTCCGCAGGCGCTGGACCTGGCAGTGCAGCTCATGGAGCTGGAAGAGAAGGCCCTGATCTATTCAGACGCAAAGTACGCTTATGGGACCTTAGGAAAGTAAGTGAAACTTTGAAGGAAATGGGTAGGTTCTGCAGGGTTTTGTGAGCTGATCGAATGACTTCAGCTGGTCACTGGGTCATGACGGTGGAGTTGTAGTCTGTAAAGACCCAGGCAAGTGTGACCTGGAGATAGGGTTCCTTCTCCAGGAGCTTTTTCCCAGGAATGCTTCCGTAATGGAAATGTTCAAGAACAGGGCCTTCCGGACTTGAGCACTGAATGGCTTTGGCGGGTGCGGGAGGGGAATTGGAAATGGCAAATTCTGGATTAAAGTGGGAAGGAGATCGGATCCTCTCAGCTTCCCGGAGCTCCAGTGCACAAGCAGGTGAATGGCTGTGGTCTGGCTGGTGTGTGACCCCCCCCCCCCCCCCCCTCGCAGCGAGAGTGACCCGGCCGCGCCCCCGGCCGCCGCACTGAGCCTGGAGGTGCAGCTGCTGGAGGCCAGCGACGCGCCCGACCTGGAGCTGCTCCCCCCCCGCGAGAAGATCGCCCTGGCGGACCGCAAGCGGGCGCGCGGCAACGCCTGCTACCAGCGCGGGGACTACGTCTTCGCCGTCAACTCCTACGGCATCGCGCTGCAGATCACGGAATCCGGCTCCGGAGGTGCGCCGGCGCTCCGGGCGGCTCGCGGGGTTCGGAGCTTTTCTCTCGGGGGACGTACGGAGGGGCGTTGCTGCCATCGAGGGGGAAAAATCATGTGCTGTCTTGGGATTCCGAGGAAGTACGTTCTTGTGTACTTGATGTGAAAATCGTGCTGCAGCACGATCGTCGTACTGTAGCTCTGTCACCCTGCAGCTCACTCCCGGAGCCTGGTCAGTACCTGGAGGGGAGACTCCTGGGAAAGCTGAGGCTGCTGCTGGAAGAGGTGTCAGTGTGACCAGCAGGGGGCGCTCACCCTGCAGTCTGTGTGGGTCCTAATGCCCCAGTATAGTGATGGGGACACTGTACTGTAAACAGGCGCCGTCCTTCACATGAGACATAAAACCGAGGTCCTGACTCTCTGTGGTCATTAAAAATCTCAGGGTGTTTCTCGAAAAGAATAGGGTTGTTAACCCTAATTTTTAACTCTAATTAAACCCAAATTTCCCATTGGCCTTCACCAATCATAGCCTCCTAATAATCCCCCTCTCTGAACTGGCTTCATCACTCTGCTCTCCTCCCCACTGAGAGCTGGTGTGTGGGGAGCGGACTGGAATATATACAGTATATGAAATATTTATTTTCTTTAATGGCAGCAACGTGCTTCCTTAGGGTACATCATTTCCACTCACAAAATTGGCAATATGGCTTCTGTGTGTGGCCCATCGAATGAGCGTTTTCTATTGTAAGTGATTGTAGAGCAAAGTAGCTGCTGGCAGTGAGTAGCAGCGTGTCCGCGGGGCGACGGGGGCCGTGCGCTCCGTGCCGCTGCGGGCGGGCGTGTGTGTGACCGGCGCCGCTGTGCTTGTGCGGCAGTGGGCATCACCGCGCAGGAGGAGGAGGAGCTGCTGGACGTGAAGGTCAAGTGCCTGAACAACATGGCGGCGGCGCAGCTGAAGCTGGAGCACCACGAGGCGGCCCTGCGCTCCTGCGTGTCCGTCCTGGCGCACCAGCCGGACAACATCAAGGCCCTCTTCAGGAAAGGCAAGGTGAGGGAGGCGTGAGGGGCCGGACGGGGCGGCCCGGTATCCCAGAGTCCGCAGCGGGGCCCCCGCTGTGTGCCAGCGGTCAGGCGAACGGGCCGCGAGCCCCCCCAGCCGCCACCCAGACATCCCCCACGCAGTGCGTCCAGCGGCTTTTACAGGGCTTGAAAAGCTGATCTCGCTGAAGGAGTCAGGTGAAAGCCCCTGTCCCACCTGTGACCTCCCCAGTGGAGGGTCTCTGTCTGTTTACCTGCTCTTTGGGTGGACCTGGGGGGTGGTTCTCCCTTGGGACCTGTATGGGGGTTCTCCAGCCATCGCTGGTGTTGTCCAGCAGGGGTCTGGTGTGACCATGGGATTGTGGAGAAGTGTCTGTGTGTCTGTGTGTCTGTGTGTCTGTGTGTCTGTGTGTCTGTGTGTCTGTGTGTCTGTGTGTCTGTGTGTCTGTGTGTCTGTGGGGGGGTTCTTCTTGTGTCTTTTGCAAACCTCTCAACACTCCTTTTTCCTGGGTCTGGAATCGTCTCCTCCTCTCCGGCCGCGTCTCCAGGTCCTGGCTCTGCAAGGAGAGTACGCTGAAGCCATCAGGATTCTGAAGAGAGCGCTGAAGCTGGAGCCCACCAACAAGGTACTGCCCCCTGCTGGGTGGCGCGTGCTCTCTGGGAGGGGGTTGTGAGAGATCAGTGCTGCAGGTGACATCTCCAAGGGCCGGCATGACCTCTCCGGCTCTAGAAACCCACCCACGCCTCGTGTGCAGTTTTGTGTCACCGTTTTGCATTTGCAGATTCGGAACAATTCAACCCCTTTACTGTATTTCTGATACCGGAAAAATAGGGAGCTGACTCGCATCTGAGACTCTTAGGTTAAACCCGCACTGATGGCAGATGGCTCAGCAGACTGCACTTGTAATGTTTAGCAGACTGAGGATACAATGATGAGCTCGTGGATAGGTCACTGGGCAATCACAGGGTCATTTGATCGTTAGTACTGCAGCCCGGAGTGAAGCTATCAGGTTAAGATAGTTTTATGAGGTAAGATCACTTTATTGGCCAGTTTCTTGCATTAGGAATTTGTCTTTTCACAGACTGCAGCTTGCTCTCCATAAGACACACAGACAGGGAGAGAAGCTGGGGGTCAGAGCGCAGGGTCAGCCATTTATACGGTGCCCCTGGAACAGTTGGGGTTAAGGGCCTTGCTCAGGGGCCCAATTGAGTAGGATTCCTCTGCCAGCTGTGGGATTTGAACCAGCAACCTTCCAGCCACAGGCGCAGATCCTGAGCCACAGAACCACTGCTCCGCCACTGTGGTATTTTCTCAGGAATACCACAGTGGGATCTCTAAGCCAAGTGGATCAAATTAATCATGTTCAGTGAATATATGTAATGAAGTATGGCTTAATATCTTCACTTTCTTGTTTCTGCATAATCCGATGTCAGCTACGGGGTGAAATGTGTAGGGAAATAACACTCAATAGGTTGGTGTGCGGTTCTTTAAAATGTCCACCAGGTGGCGCCAGTGAAGTTTGACGGAAGGTCATGAAACCCAGCCTGCACGCTCAGCCGGATCCGATTTCTTGTTGTTGCTCAAAATAGGCTGTCCCCTGGCACACGTGTCACATTGCACAAGCTGTTCCTCCACTACTTATGCGAGGGGGGCTCTGAGGTTCCCTGTGTAAACAAGCTGGGACCACGGTACTGTTTCACAGGGCCTGGTCTGCATCTGACCCGTCTCTGCCTGAGCACAGGGTGGTGATGTTTTACTTGGCATTTGTGCATCTGAGACTTTTATTGGTGTTGCTAAGGTGTT